TAGTACCAACCCATTTCAGCTCACTAATGCCTAGGATACTGATTCTTATGCATTCCATTTCATTTTTGATAATATGCAATTTTCCTAGATTCATACTTCATACATTCTATGTTCCTATTATTAATGGATGTTTACAGCAATTTCTCTTCATTTTGAGTTGCACTCCACCAAATGAAGGTCCTGAAAGCTTCACTCTATTCATGTTATCATGGTCAACTCTACTTTAAGGAGGCAGCTCTTCCCCAGTAATATTTTGAGTGCCTTCCAACCTAAGGGGCTCATCTTCCAGCACTAAATCGGACAATACTCTGGTGCTCTTCATCATGTTTAAGTATGCAATATTCTGTTGTTATCTGACAGTGTTCCACTGTTATTCATAAGGCTTTCAGTGACTAAATATTTGGAAGTAGACTGTCTCTTCTTCTTCCTAATCAGGCTTAGTCTGGAAGCTCAGTTGAAACCTATTCACCGTTAGTGACTGCTGGTATACTTTCCAAGGAGCTCTGGTAGCATAGTGGTTATGAGTCAGGCTGTTAACCTCAAGGTCAGAAGTTCAAAACTACTGGCCATTCCACGGCAGATGAGGCTTTCTGCTCCTGTAAAGATTTACAGCCTCGGAAATCCTATGCAGAGTCTCTGTAAGTGGGAACCTACTCCACGGCACACCACCCCTTTCCAGCAACACACTGACGGACTTGAATGGCAGGAGAATACAATCGCTGTTACTAACTGAACTTAAGAGGTAATAGGGGTTCAGTGGTTGAATTCTTGGCTTTGATGTAGGAGAGCCAGGTTCAATTTCTGGACAATGTATCTCTTGCACAGCTACCACCATTTGTCAGTGGAGGCTTATGGGCTGCTAGGATGCTGAACTGATTTCCATAGTGCTTCTAAACAAAGACAGACTAGGAAAAAAGACCTTGTGATCTATTTCTGAAAATTTGCCAATAAAACCCCTATCATGTTCACTAGTCATCCCAGTTCATTAGGTCATCTCTAGTTCATTAGGTCCACCCATGCCACGCTTCTAGCAAAGAAATAAAGGAACAAAACAAATCCCAGCCCCAATTTAGCAAAACCCAAGAGGAAGTTTTAAGCAGATTCATTGGTGCCTTACAAATAGTAAGAGCTCAAGATCTGTTTGCTGATTGCCTGAATGGATGGGTCTTTGTAATGGAACTCATGCCACCTGATATACCAGATCCTTCCCTTTTAGAAAGAAATCTTTTGGAAAAATAGACAGTGGCTGCATAGTCATTTTCTCTTCTACTAGACACATTGGTAATTTAACAAAGAAACCAATTTTATTTCTAAATGTTGGGTGTGCATGTTCAGTCACTGCTGTGACTCTTATTCCAACAGTTGCCTGGTGCCTGTCTCAAAGCCCATCAGTCAAGAGGAAAACAAAAAACAAAAAACAAAAACAAAAAACCATCAAGACTCAAGAATAAACGTCCCTTCATATATCAAAGAAGATACTCAACCAAAAGTAAACATCCATCCATATATCTAAGAAGATACTCAACCAAAAGTAAACACTTTGTTCTCATTGTGCTAAACCTTCAAAAGGCAGGAAATCAGCCACTAAATTAGATCTTGTAGAAGAGTTTGACTATAACATTTGTGGTTTCCAAAAAAGATCTCCTACTCTTAGTGAGTAAACAATTTGTTCTGTTCTGTTCTGCTGCATTCACCACAATACGTATTTGTTGTTATGTTTTAGACTTTGTTGAGAACTGTGTGGTCTTGCTCTCAAGTCTATCGGGTAGTGGGTAAGACCGATACCCAGATTCCTGAAATAAAGGGCAGAATTAAATACCATTGTGGATGTGTAGCTCTGCAGAGAAGGCTCTGTGGTGAAAGCAGATGACTTGGGGAAAGCTTAAAGAACCCCAAAGATCCTGCTGCAGGTGGTTGCCAATCTGCCCTCTGAAAATGTTTCCCTCACTTTCATGCCACCCCTGGAGTGGCAAACCCCCTTTTTTGTACCCGGATTTGCACATGTGTCACCCATCCTGACCACTCTGTTTCCTTCACAGCCTTCTCTTCACACATGTCTACTGAATGTTGGACAGTGGGCTATTTAGGGGGCAACATGTATACAGGGGGAGGAGCCATCAGACAAACTTAACTTTTCTGAAAACTTGAAATAAATTGAGCTATATGAGCAGGACTCTGCCTGCCCACACTCTGCCAATCAAAATATGGTTCCTGGGCCAGCAGCATTGGCATCATCTGGGAGCTTGTTAGAAATGCAAAATCTCAGGTTCCATCCCCAGAGCTACTAGATCAGAATCTGCATTGTAACAAGATCCTCCAGGTGGTTGGTTTGCACATTAAAGTCTGGGAAACATCAGGCTAAAGCTCATTTATAATTAAGTTATTTTTTAAAACAAAAAACATTCAAAGGTAACATTTTCCCCAGGATCATTGAATATTATTCAATCCATTTTTCTGCCTCCATTTTTCTAAAGCACTTAAATTGAGCAGGCCTGAAGCTGGTTTTCCCAGGACACAGAAAATGAAAGAACATTTGGAGAGAGAATTTATATTTCAAAGGTCTAAGGAAGAGATTTGAAAGAAGCCCTTTCTCTGTTCCTAAGGAAGAGAACTTGCTTCTTCTAATATGAGCCACTTTGCCTTGGTTTCCTCACTGCTGCCCAGGGCTGTCCTCTGCCACCTCCAGTTCATGACTCCCAGTTTGCAAGTGATCAGAGAGAACATCTTGTTCCTACTTTTACAGGTTTCCAGAGTTATTTTTTAATGGCCCTAACAAGTGGATTCCATCCAGAGCTATTAGAAGACTTTTCCAAGCTCACAAATGAGGTTAAGTCAAAAAGTATTGCTACTAGAGTTCAGTCCATACATGCATAGGTTTATTCCAGGTAAAACGTGTTGAAACATGCCTCTGTGATTAGTGGATTGCTGCAGACAAGTTCTCTAAGTAACGCACTTGTCTTAAACCCATTAGTTGTTATTGTTAAGTGCCACCGAGTTGGTTCCAACTCATAGTGACCCTTTATAGGGTTTTTGAGGAGCAGCTGTTGAGTTTGAATCACCAACCTTGCGGTTCAAACCGACCTTTCAGTCCAGTGTCTATCCAACAGTGCCACACCAGGACTCCTGAAAAAATATATGCTACACACACACACACACACACACACACACACACACACACACAATCTATGCTTATCCTTTACTTCTATTCTTGTTGGTTTGAGGTATAGCTGCTCCTGTTATAAGAATTCTTTTGATGAATGCTATAAGACTGCATTGTAACATATACTGTATGTATGGATGTATAAGGTTTTCATCATTCATACTGGTCAGCCTATTCCTCAGAAGCTTCTTAAGCTTGATTATTTGTCTTACTCCAAGACAAATGTTCACACAGTGCTGGGGACAGAGGTGGGTGCAGCATATGTTTGAAGAATGACATAATGACTGGATTCCAATGTCACTGCCTATATGTTCTTCATATAGCAATTCTGCTTCCAGAGAAAGAAAAAAGAGAACATTTCTGCTCATTGTTAGGAGCCTGAAATCACTTTCAAATCTTCAAAAATCTAAAACTCCGTACTACTAAGTAGAGAAGAGAAGCCCTCCTACAGATGGCATTGTGACAAGTTTGCCCATCTGGCCTTGCTGCCCTTCCCACTGGTCACTTTTCCATTTTGAGCTATTTTGTAGCTGGTGGCTCAAAAGGAGTTCAATTCATGGGTTCTCTTCCATCCTGTGGTAAGAGAGAAACACTATGTCTCACTGCAAGACATATTTGATATATGGTCTGGTTAAAATCTTAAAAGAAGAAGCACTGTTACACATTTTATTCACCCGGGTAGGAATATGAGGCTCCTAGGCAGGAACAAAGGAATTCTGGTAGCACAATGGTTAGGATTCGGGCTGCTAATCTCAAGGTCAGCAGTTCAAAACTACCAGCTCTTTCATGGGAGAACGAGGAAGCTTTCATTCTCGTAAAGATTTCCAACTTTGGAAATCCTGTGCAAGATTGCTATGAGTCAGAACCAACTCCACGGCACATAACCACCACCACTTAATCCATTCTTTATCTCAGCATCTTAATTTCCTTCTTTTTCAATTACTCAGCAATGAAAAATAAATGCTGAAAGTCTCAATTAGAGAAGACTAGGGAAAAGAACTTATTACACTAAGTTGAGCCTCATTATTTATGGATTCTGTATTTGTGAACTTGCCTACTCGCTAAAATTTATTCACAATCCCAATATCGATATTTGATGTGGTTTTGCAACCATTCGGGACATGTATATGTACAGATCATGAGGAAAATTGAATGCTATCATATTCTCTAAATCAGTGATCACAGAAATTCTATAGAACATACTTACCATAAATAAGGAAAATCAGCTGTCTATGTGATTCAGTCTCATGCCTGAACTCTAACAACATAGCCCTAAAAGTTATTGGTTCCTGGGTGATACAGATGGTTAATACACTCAGCAGCTAACCAAGAGGTTACAGGTTCGAATCTACTCAGAGACACATCGGAAAGAAGCCTGGTGATCTACTCCTGAAAACCCAGGCACTGGAAACCCTGTGGAGCACAGTCTACTCTGACACACAGACGGTTGCCATCAGTTGGAGTTGGCTTGGTGGCAACTTGTTAAAAGGGATGTCATGTGCAGCCTGAGATGGGACCATTTAAGGACCCCTTAGTTCCGGCTGAGGATCCCTGGTGGCACTGTAGGATAAGTACTGGACTTCTCTGTGGGAGAAAGTTGGGGCTGTCTGCCTCTGTAAAGATTCAGTCTCAGAAACCTTATATAGGGTCACGATCAGAAACAACTCAGTGACAAAGGATTTTGGTTTCGTTCTGACGTGAATGTTCTTTGAGTACCCACAGGCCTCCAGCAGGAGAACTTCAAAGAACTGTGGACTTTTCTCAGCAGCGACCTCAGCTGTCCTGGAAGGGTAGAGACACCCAGGATTGTGGGGCAATTCTGCCGGCCGACTGAACCTACCTGATTCCGTCCTCCCGTTCTCACCCTGCTGGGCTTTCTCAGAGGCACTGGAGCCCCTGGGGAAGGGCTGATGGCTGAAGAGGTCATCACACAAAAGGCTTCGGCACAGTTTGGCCAGGAAGCGAAGGACAAACCCAATGCTGTTCACCACGGGCAGATTCCGTAGGTGCTGTTTTCCATCAAAGGAAGCCGAGACTGAAAAACCATAGATACAGCAACTCAGAGCAAGACATTGCAGTAAACAACCAGCCAGGCAGCCCTGGGGAAGAGCGTTTTGCTTCTGCTGATTTTGTTTTTAAATAGGCTCATTTTGCAGTCCCTGGATTGGTACAATAGTGTGGATAATTTTTGACACATCCTAATATTAATTATAGGACATTAATGGAAACAGAAGCATGACATTGTGTGTGTGTGGGGGGGGCGGTGGACAGGTATAATTAAATAAAAATCAGTTGCAGTAAAGAAGATTTTGACTCATAGCGACCCCATGTGTGTCAGAGTAGAACTCTATAGGGTTTTCAGTGGCTGATTTTTTTTTGGAAATAGATCACCAGGACTTTCTTCTGAAATGCCTCTGGACTCAAATCTCCAGCTTTCTGGTTAGCAGCTGAGCATGGTAACCATTTGAACTTTTTTATTTGGTAAGTGATTGAGGATGTTTCTATTCCATACTCTGCCATTTACTCTCGGGAAACTGACCAAGAAAAAGTTCAAAAGTCAACCATCAGCTGGAAATTTGATGCTTACAGTTTCCTGGGATCCTCAAGATCCAGTATTGGAACACTATCAGGAAAAAGGTTCAACAATCAACAGTGCTAATTACAGTGCATTAGCGGCTCAGACTAAAACATTTTTAAATAAGGGAATACCAAAGTTTGTTGAAAGATGGACACAGTGTATTGAAAGCAAGGAGATGATGTTGAAGAATTATGTATTTGTCTTTTCTAAAAGTTGATTAAAATAAGTTCTATAGCTCACCCTCGTATATATTTCCAGTATCCAATGCAGTATACACATTGCATTTAGTAATCATCTCTCCCAGTCTACTCTGGTCAGTTTCTTGGTGTTTTCTGGTTTCATATGACCTTGACAGTTTTGAAGTGTGGTCAGGTACTTTGTAAATGCCCAGAGTTGTTTATTTGATGTTTTTCTCATGATTAGATTGGAGTTATGAGTTTGGAGAATAAAACCATATAGGTGAATTGCCTTTCTCATCATATTATATAAGAAATTACATGATAGTCACATGACTTATTACTGGTGATATTAACCTTGATTGTCTGGATGAGGTAATTTCTGTATTCTATTCCTGGACTTAAGTAACAAGGTCCTGCCCACACTCCAGGAGTGTGGGAGTATTAAGCTTCTCCTTCTACAGAGGAGGATTCTACACATAATTTGGAATTCTTCTGTAAGGAAGGTTTGTACCCTCTTCCTCATTTGCTTATTTATTTAGTCAATAAATTATTTAAATCAATAAAAAATTAAATAGGTTTTGTATTGCAGATAGTTCAATATCAGGCTATTTATTTTACTGCTCAAAGCTTTGCTCTTTGGGAACTTTCTCAGATTGACTTCATGTTTTCTAATCTCTCTTTACCACAATATTCTTTAGGTTCATTTTGTATATTTCTTGTCCCAGCCCTAAAATCAGCCATTTCTGCAAGGAGTCTTGGTTCCTTGTGTTGAATGGTAATTAGAAAGTGGCATACAGAAATGGACGCTGGAGTGCCCATTGCAGCTGGGCTGCCACTAGTTCTTTGCCCTTTCAGTTAACAGAGCTAACAAACATATGTCTGTATACTGTTATCATTACGTGAACTGCCTCAGAGAGTGTTCTTGGCTGTCATTTTTATGGAAGCAGATCATCAGATCTTTTACCTATGGAGCTTCTGGATGGGTTCAAACTGCCAACCCATTGGTTATCGACTGAGCACCTAACCATTTGTGCCACCAGGTCCCCTTTTGTCTGTAAATAAATCCACTGTAATTATCTTTCTATCTCTGTATCTATCTATCTCTTTCTCTCTCTCTCCATCTCTGTATTCCCCCGACCCCATCTATCTATATAAATAAACAGAAGCTCATATTAATGCCTCCAACTCTAATCCAGCACAAGTTTGCCTTGTGAGGGAGAATTTTTATTACAGGGCAAGTCCTTTCCACAGTGGGCTACCAGAATTGCAAGAGAGAGACACCATTTCCCTTTAGATCAGAGCATGTCCTTTTCTGCATTTCTCCTCAAGGTCCTTTAGTCCATGTACTTGCACACCAGCTCCAGACATGGGGGACACACAGGAGACCCCAAACAGGACATTCTACTTCCCACCTTGGTATTTGCCACTGAGGGGTCAATACCTAAGGGGCAGCCTAGTCTTTATGATACATACCCCAAAGTCTGGCAAAGGCAGGGGCTGGGGAGGGACGACCATAGCTACTTTTGATTTCAGAACTCACAAGGAAATGTCCATTTTAATGAAAAACCAAAGGACTCCATCTCTTTTGTAGCGCTTTCATACTCATTGCCTCCTTCAGTGCTCCCAACAGTCCTGTGAGGACAAAAGGTTATCACTTCATGCTCGATGAGGAAATGGAGGGGAGGACCTGGGCTGTTTTCCGGTCATGTGGTCTTTAAGAACATTTATGTCAGTTTTAATGCCCCCTGATGGGGAGAGTTGGCCAAAGAGCTGCCTCAGCCCAATTGGACACTCTGGAAATTTCTTTTTAATGGGGGCCCTACTGCTTGTCTCAAGCACAGGTACTCCCCAACTTATGATAAGTTCCAGTTATGACAAACTGCACTTAAGATGGTCTAGAGTTTTGTTGTGGGTTTTTTTTTTTTTTTTTTTTTAACATTTTATCATTCAAACACCTTCCTGGGAGGAAGTTATGAGAAAATTTGCGCACGGGATATGGAAAAAATTGCTAAGTTATGTGAACATGCTCCAAGCACTTGATCAGGACAGAACTTGATATTGCCAATGTGGAACAGCTCATGGATCATGAAGAAGGGAAATTAATAAGTCAGGACTTAGTGGATTTTAAAGAGGAAACAAATATTGAGGCAGAGGAAGGAGAGAAGTTGTTAAAAAAAAAAACTACAGTGAAAGAATTAACTGGTGTGTTTTTGAAACTAATTTAGGATCTTCAGTAGCTGAAAAGATGAACCCAAATGCTGATCATTTTACGAAAGTCACCAGGCAGATTTGGGAAGCAGTGAGATGTTACCGTGAAATATAAGGGGAAAAAACCAGGGTCACACAGACAACGCTCATGAGTTTTCCTGTTCCTAGGGATTGTCCACAGGTTCCAGAACCTTCCATAAGTGGAGTTATTACCACAACTGACAAAATGTCAGTGTCTCCCAACTCTTTTTCAATGCTAGAGTAACTTTTTATGATTTGTGTATTTTTTAATGTATGCATGTATGTATTAAAATGTATCTGTAAGCTTATATGTAATGCTTCCAACTCCCAAAGATAAATAGATACTGAGAATAAAAGGCAATAATAATGAAAACTTTTTTAAAAAAAAATAGTTATTCAACTTAAGTAGAACCAACCTAAGACAGAATCCTGGGTACAGAATCCATCATAAGTTAGGGACTGACTGTACCTTAAATGACAGTAAAATGCAAACTAAACCCACAGCAGGAGGGTGCTTGGGGCATCACATTTGTCCAGTAAATCACTGTGAATACACTCTCAGGAGTTCCTGGGAGATTGCAAACTACGAAAATGCTACCACTTGGAAGACATAAAAATGACATCGCTGGGAGACAGTGTACTGGGAATGGGTTACAGGGTACTGTGATACAGTTTCCCTCCACCCCTGGGTGGCAAGAGGTCCAGATAGCCTGTGCTAGCCACAGACAATTTTTTTCCTTGATCCTATGGTGCCAGCACCGATGTTGCCCTTCTCTGTGTCCTGTGACCTGAGAATGTTTGGGAAGCAGGTTCTAAGTGTAGAATGGGAGTCTGGACTAATTCTCCTGAAGCCCCTTCCCTCCCTAAACCACCTTGCTTTAATCAATATCACCATTGGAAACATGAAGAACCGTGTGGTCCTGTAATACCTCACGGTGGCAGGATAAGGAGGCAGCTCAGTGTTCGTGCATTCTCCAAGATACTTAGGCAGAGTGCTCAGCTCTGGCCCTTGTGGAATTCCTTCAGCCAAGGGAAACTTGGCGAGACTCTGCCTCACTCTTGTTTTGGTGCCAGGCACTGCAGAACTTCTCCCCATTGCCAAGGCCCCTGAGGCTACAGAGAGTAAGCTGAGCAGAAAAGCAGGGAAAGGAGGTCAGTTTTCCCAGCTGAGGGGTAGGGACCATAAAGAATGCAGTGAGACCAGGATGCACTCAAAGGAGTTGGCACAGAGCTGAGGAGGTGCTTTCTGTGAGCACCCTACAGTGTTATGAGCCATTATACTTAGCAAAGAAAAAGGCTGTTGACCTGGGAGACAAGCACTGGATCCCAAACCTGCCTCTCAAATGGAAATCAGGAGAGGTGCCCGCCAAAGTGCTCTTGCAGAGCCTGATGACAGGACTCTTTTCCTGTCCTCTCTTGGCACCCTACTTCTTCCTTCTTGCATCTACTTGTCTCTGCTTACATCTATTAAAGTCTCTTAAAAATCACACCGGATCTCGCCAAGTTCTGTTTTTAATTAATTACCACAAAGTCAGAAGCATCTTCCTGCTCCGAGGGAATTCTAGATGAACAAAATAGGCAGAGCTAGGGAAACTCTACTAGGTGTCCTCTCCATCCCCCAAGCCTCGGGAATCTGAAGTTAAACAAAATACCCCTGCTTTGGTTCTTCAGGAAACAACTATGTTAGAGTCAACCCCTCCTTATTTCCTTCCCCTGCCTTAGCTAGTTCTGGAAGACACTTTAAACATGTAGGGTCATAAAGGTCCCTACAGCCCAGCAGACGGAGGACTTGGCCAAAACCACTGAGGAAGGCTGTCTTCCTCTTCAGGAATCTGTCCAAGGTCTTACCCGACACCATCTCGGCACCATAGCCCTGCTTGACCAGAGAAAAGACCATCTTCTGCTGGTGGGCACAGTCAATGCATGCTTGCACAGCCTGTTGCAAGACTGCTGATGGTCTCTCGGGTCCGAAGTGCTCAGGAAGTTGCTGTACCTTCCTCCTCTCCAGGAACGGCCCTGCATTGGCTTGTTTGTTGATGTAAAGGCAAACTGTGGGAACAAAGAACACAACGCCTCAGCAACGGACTATGCATCAGGCAGTGGTCTGCTCTCATGTGCTGTCGCCTCCCCCAGCCTTCTCAGCTCTGGACCTTCAGGCTATTTTCAACATAGGAAGTAAGAGGCAAAAGCATCTAAAAATTCCACCTTCTAGGGTTTACTCTCAAGGAAGCCTCATAATAGGGGACAGTTTGGCCCATTCTGATGTATGTACTCAATCCAGAATGGTAGAACATTACAATGACTTCTGTGAATTGTGTTTGCAGACATATTTATATGTGGGGCATGTGCACATATTTCTTCCCCTCTTCCAAAGGAGCTATCAGGCTACACTCAATGTTTGCCATTTCTCTGTTAATCTTCTATGAATAAAAAAAAAAAACATACTAATGTTGAGCACTCTGAAGTTCTAAAGGGCATATTGCCTTCTCATACACTTATCCCAGCCACTTACAGGAAAGCTAAGCTCAAGGAAATATTCAACTGCCCATTGAAGTGAACTCAATCAATAGTCTTCACACTTAAAAAATAATATGTTGTTGTTGTCGGGTGCCATCGAGTCAGAACTGACTCATAGC